GTCATGAACAAGCACTAAAACTACCTCCAGTCTAACTCCGTGGCATTTCACAGCTCATACACCTGCAACATTGGCTTACAGGACCTTGCCAGCAAAACACCAGGTGTCACCTCCAACAGCCAGCAATCACAAATTTACCAAACTCGTCAACTTTCGAGATGTTCTACAACTTAATACAATTTCAGAGAAAACTGTCGTGTTTTCCCAAGGGATGGGCAGACATTTCGCACCTGGGAGACCCGCACGTGCCCGAGACCAGCAAAGGCAGGCGCCTTTCCGCGGGAGGGAGCATCCCTGCAAGAAGAGCCCGGGACACACGTGGCCCCTCACGTCCACCTGTGCCAACAGACACCTCGCCACAAGAAAGCACGCTGCGGTGGGAATGCCTGTCACTGTCGCAAGAGCTCGGCTCCGCGGTGCAGGGTGCTCACCTCCCCAGGCCAGCGCAAACCCATATCGCCGGTTTCCTCGCTTTACTGGGTGGCTTGAACACGCCGAGGCTGAACTGCAGCCCTGAAGGAGGGTAGTAAGCCGCCGGTTCAGCACAGCCCCAGAAGGTGAACGGGGTCTGATGAATCTCTGCCCCGACCCTTGTCAGCCATCACTTTTCCATCGCATGTCTTCAGGAGTATCACATTCACGATGGTTGTAACACAAATCTCCGCTGAACGGAGGTGGATAGCCACACTCAGCTAAATTATTCAGCAGGCTGGACTGGGCACAGAGCCCCAGTACAAGACTGACGCTTCAGCTTCTTCGGTCAACTTTTGCAGACTCTTTCTTCGCAGGGCTGTAAGAATTCATACCCACGCAGGACCAGGCTAGCGCTTAGACTCCTGAGTAAAACTGAAGGTTATAAGACAACAGGATACAAATCAGCCTGCTATCCAAGCAGACACGTTGACACCAAGTGGCTGTTTAGCCACATCATGACATACATGAAGTTGCTGAATAACTAGGCATTTGGACTTATTTTAATTTCTGCATTTAGTGTTGCATTACTACCTGAGAGTCCACCTTTATAAGAAAGTATGTGTTTTTACAAAGGATGTCAGATCTTTTTAAAACAATTCCAAGATAAAGCAAAGTACACTTTCAATCCTTGCCAACATGCAGAGGGTGGAAAAAAAAAAAAAACTCTAAAGAGGGTGGGAATCTTTAGTAGTTACGTATGTAATCAAGTCTCATGATTTGAACAGGACTTGAAAATGTATGTGAGGTTTTTGTTAAAGCAAAAAGCAATGTTCTAAGCACACACCACTACAGAAACTCCAAAATGACCTCTGTAAAATTAGTAACTGAACAGTTAAAGACACAGTTTCTACATTTCATTTGCATTGGCTCTGCATTTAAATATTTTCCCATCATGATAATGGTTCATATATATAGCTATATATTCAGTAAAGTTAAATCAGGAATTGATTTGGCTCTGTATTCTTTCAGCTAAGACTGTAAATAGCAGGGTCCTGTCTGCTCTGTATGAATACAGATGGCCTCAGTGGAGTTCTGCCAGTTTATAGCAGCAGAAAATCAAGGCCAGAGGATCAAAGGGTCTTCTCCATAACAGCAGGGATTTGTTTCCATGCCATCTTCTTCAAAAGGTTCCGAATTATCCAGTGAGTACTCTCCATACTAAAATAATTTTCTTTCAGTGGCACTGTGTATATACAAGTGTATATAATGATACCTTTTTGCATTAATAGAAGTATATTTAGAACCATAACAATATCTGAGTCAGACAGATTTGTCTGCATCTCTTTTCATTTCTTCAATTTTATCTTATTCTTTCACACCCATTATCTCAGCAAATAATTACTCTTCCTTTTACACCTACAAGGAGTAACTCTGAGCATTAATAATATCCAAGCTTGCACCACAGCCAGCCAAGGAAACAACCCTTCAAGTTCCTGCCCCAATGGAAGGACTACTACACTTCCCGTAAAACGCAAGGAGTTCCTCCCCACAACTCAGGATCCTTCAAGGCTGTGGAAAGAAAAGTCAGTATCCTTCTGGCAACACCCAAGTGAGCAACAAGGTTAATACAGGTAAGCTCACTGACTGATACGGATGCGTATCTCTATTGCACTTTAGACATCAATGAAGTCATGAACACAAAGGGATTAGAGAGATGCATCACACAGCCTTCACTTCCAATGTGTTCACCCAACATCAGAGATCTTGCAGTTCAAAATCCTTGTCAGTATGGTAGGGAGAAAATCGTACTCCTCGCTGCAGCAGCCCCTAAGTCGATTCCAAGTAGCACACGAAGTTTCCTGTTCCATGCTTGAGTTTTGCCTTTAATTCTTTTGGAAAACAGGAAAAATGTTTAGAAAAGACCATAAATAGAAAAGGAGAATGTCCCTTACCAACCCCTGCTGAAAATATTAAATATTAAAGAGAATACAAGCTACAAGAGGAAAATATATATATTATTCAGACTCCAAACCACCTTGCAAACATTAAAACAATTCCAGGTAACTAACTCCATGTACATGTATGAAATTTAATATGCACATAAAGTATGTTCTTAAAAATGACAAGCTGGTAATGGGGAAGAGGAAAATATGCCTCCTCTGTGAAGGATAATCAGGTACAAGGGTACAAGCCAAAATCAACCACAAGGGCAGGCCAATAAAATGTCATGTGCAGAAAGTGTGGTCTACATTGCCTCATCTCCACTGTGATATTCATCTCTGTTAACAAAGAGAAAAAAATCTTACTCATGTGTGGTGTAAATGTAAGTAAGTGAATTATCCCCATTTCTCTGCGTAAGATGGATGTCACTAAAGAGCTCCAATATTGTTGGGTATTCTGCAACTAAGTGTTTCTCTATATCAAACGGAACCATATAATGACTATACTGAATGACACTTATGGAGCATAATAGGTACTCTGAACATTTGGTAAGAGAATCACCTGCCTAAGAGAGAAGGAACTGAATGGCTGGATGTATCTCTAATATACAGGGAAAAATTGATAATGAAATGAATAGAAAATGCACTTAAGAGATTCCAGAGCTGACTTGGCCTGAAGATTATTATGAGCCCCTGGACAAGTTTTCTCATTGACTCTACTGGCAATAGGATTCCAACAGGACTGATCTATAGTTTGTGTCTTGTACCTTTCTAAAAAAACACACAAAAAAAGTGCCGAATTCATCATTCTACAAACCCACAAAAGTTCACCTTTATTTATGGTTGATTCTTTGTCTGCAGGAGAGCAAGCTCTGTACACAGAGGTCTCCTAGATTGAAGGTTCCTTTATCTTTGCTATATATACATACATTAATGAGGTTGTCTCCCTTATTTTTCTGTTGAGGCTTTTAAAGGCTGACCTTGCTATCTTTCTACAGTAGTACTCAATTTCTTCCTCCCAGATTTGCTTGTGGAGCTCTTCCAGAACTTACTTCTTATCCCTCCCATTTATACACATTATCTGTGTCTTCCAGAAGAAGATGGATTAATAATTAGATCTGCCTAAGAATTTTTAGCTGAATGTTTCACTGGAAAATTCCAGTTGGATCTGAAACACTTAATTCAAAATACCTTGGGTTCAACAAGACACTTCACTGAATTCAAATGAATTCACATTAAAAAAAAAAAAGATGTTTCCTAAACAGCAGTAGCATCTGCTATACAGCCAATTGCATCAAAAACTGTTTTAACTACTGCACAGACACCCTTTTGAGTGTAGATGTTAAAAATAAATTTCTCATAACCTTCTACCAGCAAGGTCCTATACGGGCCAGTTTTTCTATACAACATACTTCTAGTTTTATATCACTCTCCTTAAACATCTTGTCTGAGACCACTTTCTTTTCTGTTTTTTGTTAATCTCACTCTTAAATTATATCCCCCTAATCAAGGTAAATACCATTCCTCAAAACAAATGCTATTCAGATTTCAGTGGTGCATGATTACATTCTACAAAATTACTGATCCAGAAAATTTCCTTTGGAGCACCAAAGCACCTTTCTTTGCTTTTAGAAATTGCTGACAATGGAGCAGCCAACCAGCCACAGGGACTTCATCCAGAGCCTTTAAACAACTTGTGGTTTGGTCTCTAGTCTGTCTGCTCAGGCACTCTTCCCATATTCATCATGTTAATCACCCACTTCAGAAATAATGGAGAAAGGCCAAGGACAAAATGTTAGTCAATAAACTTTAGCTACTGTAGTTATACCAGAAAATGACCAATAATATGATTCAGTGTTGTGATGTTAAACCAAGCCTCAACAGCAAAGGTTCTACAGTAAGCTGAAAAAAATCAATTCTAAGCACCTCATAGCAAGAGTAGATACTACCTTGTGTCAGAGATGCACACTCTTCTCTCCCACCCATACTACCCGACCTTTACTCAACTCCAGAGTTTGCTGTATTTCAGTGATGTTGAGTGTAAGCCATAAGCTGGTATTTGGAATCATCTCCTGTAAAAAAATGCAAAATCTGACAGCCTTCCAATGCCATTCCCTTTAATGGATGAAATCACTGTTCTTCCCTCTGTGTGGAAGGCTTTTTGTAGCAGTTCATGTTTAATTGTTAGGAGTTGCACCACGTCAATTTTGATCAACTCAAAAAGTTTATTGCAAACAGGAATATTTATTTCTCTGCAGAACTGAAGTAACTCAAAAGACAGAGGAAAAAACACAGTATTTCCAGATTTATTCATCCATTTAACTCTGTACATTTAAGTCTTATAGCGATAGGGAAAGAGTTTATAGACTGATTTGTCAGCTGCAAAAAGCTCTTATTTGCACTACTGAAAGAACCAGGTAAAAGGCAGCTTTAGGACTAGCTTTGTGCTAGTCAGGAACTGGGTCAGTACCAAATATAAGCAAGAGTAGGCATAGAGCTATTTTGAATTCCACCAGCTTGTTTTGGTCCTGTGGAGCAATTCCTCTAGCATACCTAGCCTGAGCCAATACAGGATTCACCCCGCTCGAGGATTTTTCTACAAAAGGGAATTTATGGCTGTCATTTGAGACATCCTTCCAACTGCCTTGTACCACCTGGAAAACAAGAAAGTAGTGGAGCACTGGGGCCTAACAATACTAAAGGTCACTGATCTACCCAAAAATCCCGCTGGGTTTGGGGACAAATACAGACCTCCTTAGCCAACCTGAATGCCTAAGCAAATCAGTGTACAGACATAAAAAGGATGGAAATACTTCCTCTCTGGATGAAGGGCTACTATACAAGCAACTCTGGGCAAGCACCATCTTCCTATTCTGTCGTCATTAGGACTAGGAGGAGATACAAGGAAAGGCAACCTCAGGCTCGAAGGCACCTTCGTAGAACAAACAAAAAAATCTTGAGGAATTGATTTACTGGCCACATAGATAAAAAAACACTAAATAAGGGTACAATGAAGAGCTAGATTTACCCCCTAAAAATGTTATTTCAACAGCACTGCACAGAATGCCTTTGACTCCGTCTTCAGCTCATGCTGACTTGACACCTGTCCCCGTTTTCTTCTCTTCAGACAACTCTGTAATGGCCTTCAGCTCAGCTTCAGAGAACTTAGGGGTCAGTGCCACATTGTCATAATCAAATTCTTCATCAAGTAAGAATGCTTGAACATCATCCCCTAGTAGCTGTAATGAGGAAAAACACATACATAAATAATATTGCTGCAAGTGATGATAAGGGAGCTCAAAATATAAACTTCTAATTAATATTTAATTAAACTATTTTTTCTGACTCTAGCACTCTCAGCTGATTAAGGTCTTTTTAAGTAAAAGAATAAATTCAATTATTCAATTTGACCTAATTTAAGCCATTTAATGTGTCCCATTTGTACTGTACTGTATCTGAATGAATATCATTAGCTCATTTTGCTCAAGGCAAGGAATCTGAAAACCTCCCTTGCACACATCTATTACATTCCTGCCACTTGTAGCGGCCAGGCTGTGGGGATATGGACAAGTTATGTACAGCTATGTTAAATTTCAAAGACAGATTCCATATCCTTAAAATTTGGGCTAGTATCACATAAAGCTTCAGTGTACACGCATCTGATACTAATGTAACATGCTTCCCAGAACACAGTTTCAGCAAAGGAAATGCCTGGAATGAGCAAAATGACACATAATCAATTTTCAGACTCTAATAATTTCTTTTCACCATCTCAGAGATATGCAATTGGCTGGTTTGGATTTCTTGTGCGGTGAATAAAGAGTCTTACTGCATTTGCCAATATTTGCTTTGTTGACATAGTGTATAGCATTGCTGTATTGCTTCTCATTGAAATATCTTAGAATAAACGCTCTGCCTATAAAATAAAATAATGAAAACAAATAACTATGGTGTGCTGCACACTGATAAGAAACTGCAGGGGGCCATGACACAAAAGATTTATGGCAACCAGTTACATAAAATTAATTCCAGAGCTACACAGGCGACACATCCTTACTGCCCAAAGTGTACAGGAATGCTCCCTATCCTTTGAGAAGCTAATATAAAATGTCTAGAAATTTCAGCCATGAAAAATAGCACATCTCCTCAAGGGCTCTCTGTTTCAAAGATTTAAGTACTTCAGTATCAAATCAGCAAAACGTTTAAACACATGCTTATTTTTTCAAACTTCTGATAAATCCTCAATGAAGCCAATGACTACTGACGCATTTGAAGTTAAGAATACACTTACTTGTTTTGCTGAAAGGGAGGAAGAACACTCAGCATCTTATGGTCACTGCTCAGTTTAAAAGGCACAGTATCCCACATGATTTCTGGTAACATTTTGTAAGAAGCTATATTGACACAGTTAATGCCATCTAATAAGTCAGAGAAGAGGTACCTGGATTCTTTTCCGGTGGCTGGGCACCTGACAGACATGGCAGCGGGTATCTTGCAAGTATCTACGTTCTTTATTAATAAACTGTAATATTGCCTGATTGATCAGGAAATATTTTTTCTGGTTTTGTATAATTTTATTAATCATCTGTATTGCTTAATGTTCTAGGGACTTGGCTTAGATTGGCTTCAATAGATGCTGGAGCATATAAATCATCCTAGATGCAGACCTGTAGACCATGGGCATTTATAAATGAGAAAAACAAACGCTGTGGATAGAGTTAGTCTAGAAAACGGCATTCATTCTGCATGCAAAGATTATCTTGCCTATGTCCATAAACTATCCCAGGTAAACCATCATTAACTTTTATAAATAGCACATTCAAGAAATGTTTACATGAGACAAAGCCTGCACACAAGCTCTCTTTCCCATTAAGGCCAAGGTCATTAAGGCTCCTCTCATCTTTTCCACAGGTAAAGCCTTCTGAAATTCCATGCCAGTAAGGGTACCACCAACTGGGTAACAACTGGTACCAGCAACTGGGGTTCATTACTATCTGTCTGTCCTTTGCAGAAACCCAAAACATTCTTCTAACATGTGATGCAATGCGCAAATCTTTTTCAGTTAGTTTGGTTGTAACAGTATTTGTTACCACATCTATAGGTAACTAAGTTAAGAAGAATTTAAATTACAATGAGGTTTCATAGGAATTCTAAAAAAAAAAATCTGTTCTTCCTCTGCCAACATAGTTATGGAAAGTAGACACACATTCACTATGCCCTTATGTTGACCTTCATGTCATTTTGTGCATGAACATTTTAAGCAGATGCAGAGAAATACCGGAAAAACTTTTGTTTAAAAAACTCGACCCCAAAATGCTAACTGAAATTAGATGCCAAAGTAGAACATACCTGACTTCACTGTTAACAATTCTTCTGGTACCCACTCCTTGCACATTTGAAAAGTTTATTCACATTGCATATTTATCAGCATGCTTCATCTCTCAAACGAGTACTCAAAGCACTAGGGATTTTTTTTTTGCTTCTTCTCCCAAGAAGCCATTCACTTCAACCTTCTACACAGACAAGCGATCTAAAATTTTTATACTGCAAACTGCAATTTTGGTCTATTTCAAAAGGAAGACATTTTGCAATAGAACACTGAATCCTCTGAGCTGCTCAAGTTATTATCTTGTTATTTTTGCCTAAGGAGCTGAGAGAAATATGTGAATTTCAGGTGTCTAATTTAACATCTAATTGAAATCTTTTTGAGAGCTCTCTGGGAATAGAATTTTGCTCTATTAGAAAACTGCCAGTTTGCTTAAGATTGCTCCTGTGATTTACTTTCTGAAGGAAAAATCGTTTTCATTTACAGTTCCTGCATGTCCAAATTAAAGGGGAAAAGAATGTAATATTCATATTAGTAACTGAAGTATTTTGCTAGAGGCTGTTTTACAAAGTAATGTTGTAAATAAAATACCTTAAAGTTGAGACTTTCAAAAGTCTATTAATAATTGGCAACTCGGTTCTTTTTATTAATCTGTGTGGAGTTACAGTTAACTGAACAGCTTGTCTCTGTCCTTCTAAAACCTTTATTTCTGTGTAATTATGGCACTCTATGATTCGCTTGTTCAAATTATGTAAAGGATGTACATACACTCACCAATGATTTTATTGTATACTCGAGGGAAAACTTACTAGTTCAATAACAATAGGTAAAAAAAGGCGGGGAAAGGCATGTATGCTATTATCTCATATAAGCTTAATATATACTGGGTACTTGGGAGAAAAAAAATGTTTGTCTTGAGCTTGGGGCACTGGATAGGGAGTCAATAAATCTTGACCAATTTTCCACTTCTGTTTCAGCATTCTGGACAAGTCATTCAATCTCTGTGTCTTGGCCTCTGAGAAGATGTAAGTCTTCCATCTTCCTTCACTTAGTCAATCCTGTCTTTAAATTCTTCCTTGGTCTTGTTCCATTTATGCATAGCACTCAGCAGAAACAAAGCTCAGTTGAGGCCTATCAGCAAAACCTTAACAAAAGGAACTCAGCGGAAGCTGTATTTTAGGTGATAAATGCTGCCATTCCACAGATAAAGGTAAAATGATAGGCATGGTAAATACTTTTTTGAATGCTCAAACTAAAGATAAACAAAGGAGAATAGAAGCGTAGAACTCATCTTTCCTAATCCCAGCCATATAAAAATTAGCTTCTAGATTACAGTAGTCAATTAGTCAAAAAAGACCCAGCCTGAGAGTCAGCCTGTGGAGAGAGATGTATTAGATCTTAGGACAAATGCCTACAGCAAGTGGGATGAATCACGTTCTGGAGGTGCTTCTCTCCCCCTCTGGACGACAGAAGGACTACACTGGACTAAATTTAAAGCTGAAGTTAGGTGAGATGAATCCCACTTTGAATGAATGCATGTTTATAGTGAGTGGACGGAAAATACCCATTCAACTGCTCTCATATGTATGCAGGGGGAAATAAGAACAAATAAAGACCCTAAGAAGCAGATAATATGACATACTGTCAATTAAAAAAACTACAATGTCTTTTATGAAAAAAAGTATTAAATAGAAATAAAGGAGAGACTAAATATCTGGGTAGGGAAGGTAAATGTTCTATGATAATGTACTTCAACTCTGGAGTGAATGCTGTTTCGATTTGCAGTGGCCTGTGAGAGGTCATGTATGCTGTACTGTCGATATTGAGATCCAGGAATATAATAATGTCTAAAACCAGGGAAGAAAGATGAAGCAACATTGGTGGACAACACAAATAATTTGCTGTGTCATTCACTAAGCCTCTTCCCAACAGCTTTTGACAGAAAAAACATTTTCAGGGAGACAAGTTGTTCTTTAACAATTAGCCAAGCTATACACTGGGTCTTAGCAGAGCTTCTTTTTTTTTAAACTTTCCCTAGCAATAGGTTCAGAGATACACACTCTCCCCTGAAGTCCTTCACAAATACGTCCACAGTATAGACATCTGACTTCCTACATTGCACTACTAAACTTGTTTATTTTTCATAGGGAATGGTTTTCCATTCTCTATGAAAACTGACTAGGCAGCCACATTCTGTTGCCCTTCCCTAACAGATTTGTTCTGATGGACAGAGAACACTCTCATTTCAGAGCAGGGATGTTTCCAGGGAAAATCTTTTTCTCTTTCTAAACTAGTCCTGCCATAAGCAATGCAAGACTTCACTTTCAAGGCAATGACAATTTGAAGCACTGAGGGATTTTAAAATGGACCTGTTCAGTCTTGACAGTTCTGAAAATCAGGCCACAGCTATATTATCTAAATGAAGGCACAAATATGTGTATAATTTAAGGGAAAGACTGCCTTCATCTTGAGCAGCCTGGCACCAACCAAACAGTTGTGAAAATCTAAGTCTGTCTTCTTGAAAAATGCAGCAACCCCTAACCAATGTAATAATACTCAGTTTCTTTTTCATAACCCAACTTTTCCTCAAATGGAAATGAATTTTGCATGCAGTGGGATCTTCATCTATTTTTCATGAATTATAGTTTAAAGAGTCATATGCAATCCTTTATGAACACTGCAGGCTGCTACAACCCTCCTTCTTCTTTGGTTTTATATAGAAGTTATCAAATGAGAAAACTATAAAACCTCATCCTAGGTGGTTTTTTTGTGTGCCAGTGGATATTTCTCAAGGCAAAAACCTTGAATTATGTCAATCCTTAGGGAAAAGAGTGAGTATTTTTATTCACAGAATGGTGGGTATTAAAGCTTGAAAGGTCAATTTAGAGCATTTACTTTTTCCCAGAGCAGACTTGTTCCTTATAGTAAAGGGTTTATTGCAAAGAACTAAACACAATTGAGCTCAGGAAAGGAGGCACCATATGCACTGCTATAACATCAAACCTTCATTGGTCACACGTCATTTATAAACTTGATTTAAGCCTCATGGGACATCAATAAGCACATGAAACTATCAAAACTGGCCCATTTTAGCCGGAAGCTAACTTCAGCTTCTATTACAATCATCAGGCAGGGGAAAAGAGTGGTGAAGAATTCTCTGCAATAGAAACATCCCCAAAAGTTAATGCTCACACTGACTATTTGGATAGGAAGCTTAATGACTTAAAATAAGCCTGTGAGCAATCCATACCTTCTGTTCCAGTTTGAAAAGAACTGAAATTCTGAGGCAAAATGGCAATTCTAAATTAAAGCTTGTATTGATTGTGTCTCTTTAAAAGACTCAGACTCCATAATGCAAACCTCTCCACACCAGACTTAAACAATGCAGATCCTCAGCAGCATCTTGCTACTCATTTCCAAGAGGACAAATCCCAATTCTGATCACAATATATTCTAAAACCTCTTTTTCTTTTAAATGTCACATTGAAGGGAAATCATTCACTACCTCCTTGTTGCAGAAGTTGGTTCCTATATTCAGCCCAATGAGAACTGCAGGATGTTATAAGATCATGAGATCACTGGAAAATTAAGTGGCCCATCATTCTACATAAGTAATGATTTGTTCAAAGGTCAGGAAGTGCAAGAGTTTACTTGAATATTCTGTGAGTTACACCAGTTAAATATTAAAAAGCCCACAAACAGTTTGAAGTATTGTAGTACACATTTTGAAAATGTAGGATTATATAGTAGCAGTGTGCAAGATAAAATAGTACCGTTCTATTAGAGTGTTTATCTCAGTCCTTAATGTACTTAAGAATTCATTATTAATTTAAAAATGAATAATGTGATTTGTTAACTCATAACAGTTCCACACACTCCATCTATATCACCCTGTTCTTGTGGAAATAGCATTAGAAGCCAATAGGTTAAAAAAAAAACCCACGCCAAACCCCCAGTGTTTAAATAGATAAATCTGACCTCATACCTCTTGGGCTTTGCTGTCCGATGGCTGTGGAACTGACAAAGTTCTGAACTTCGGTTGAATAGGCTTATCAAAAAAGGGCGTACAATAAGCCACTGTCTCTTCCACCTCTCCTGGGAGAACTAATGACCCTGCTGAATAAAAAATAGTCAACTTTAACCTTCCACTCAATGTATAAGCTAGCAAAATCCTGTGTAAAATCCCATAGTGTTCAGACACAGGCAGAAGCTTGTTAATCAGTGTGCTGTACTTATTGTTGCATAATATATAATATGGGCAGCTATCTTTAAAATGGATCCATGCAGTCCTGAGCTAAAATCTAGATAATAAAATATAATATACTAAGGAAAAATCAAACTCGGTTGAAAATAGACAGGTAGCTCTTCTTTCTTGAGGACACTGAATTAAAAATCTGGATGTAGATGCTCCTGAACTCAGAGAACACCTGGGATTAGATTCCTGTCTTTCATAACAAAGAAGGAAGGTCCTGAGCAGAGATGTCTGCAGTAGGAGTTATAAGATACCAGACTGAATCCTGGTCTTGCCATTGATTAGCTGGGCAGTCTCGTTCAAGTCTCTTTTGCTAGAGTTTCACCACCTGTACATTGGACATAAAGAATCTTTGCAAAGCATCTTAACATGACTCTCCTTAAACATTAGGCAAAAATACCTGGTAGAAGTACTAATATTCGACACTACAGTGCCAGATGACTCTCTTGTCCAAGGATATTTCATGGATGTTTGTTCCTCCCTGAGCCTTCCAAAAAAAGATACTTGAGAGGACTTCCCTATATCTGGGACACAGCAACATGTACCTTTCCACACGGGTAGGATTTGGTCCACAGTTCATAAGTGCACAGGCTTTCTGAATCACTTTTCCTTTACATACTTAAGCAAAACGTTCCTTCTGGGAACAGCAGGCTTGCTTTCTGTGACAACTCAGACTGATATGCCTTAGGTTTAGAAATATCTTTTAACATGAATCAGTCTCAGCTCTGCTACAGCACAGGTGTGTCCATCTTGTCTCGGAAATGTTTTTATGAAGGAACTTAAGATGTCTTGCAATTTAGTCGAAGGATTACGTAAATCTACCTACTATTTTTTCTGGCTGATACACAAGTTTCTTTACAGCTTTATACTACATTTTAGTAGCTTGATTTCCTCTTGAAATCTCAGAATAAATTTTCAAAGCATTGCTTAAATGTTAGTTAATGGAACCAATAAGAGGCTACATAGATGCAGAGTGAAAAGGAAGAAGTGGCTATTTATCTCTACCTGCACACTTTTACCACAGTAGTGGAGTTACAGACCTCTCATTCTCCTGTAAATCTGCATTTGAAAATAATGATTTCCTAGCTAGGCCTTCGTAAAAAATCCATGACAGAATTCTTCATTTAGTTTTCTTCTAGGAATTGTGTACTACTTCAAAGCCAGCAGGGCTTTGGACTTGTAAAGTAGAATGTTCTTTAAAAAAGAGCTGAGTTCATTCCCTTGGGTATCTCATTCCTGGATTTTTGTCTTTTGGTTCATGATTCACGTACAAGTGGTTTCCAGTTTTAATCCCTATTCTCTTGGTTGCTTATATCTATCTCTAGTCATCTATGTGCTTTCAGTACTTGTTCTCAGCATAGCATCTGATCTTATTCTGCATCAGTTGTATGAGAAAGCTTTCTGAAAAGAACAGTGCAGTCCACAGGCATATATGCTATGTCTTCACATGTTCTGCAACTGCTTTTTTCGATCTTTTGTAACTTGGGTCAAAACTATTTGTAGGACAGAAGGAAGATGTGAATGCTCATTTAAAGGCAATGGCATTGTTTCAAACTTGCACCCTAAATACATGCCCTCACTGAAGGAAGGAAAGCCTGGACATCAGGAGGTTTGTATCACCTCCTGATATAAACACTGATTATTTCTGTACAAAGAGCTTCCCCCCGCTTCAACAGACCAATCTGCGGCGAGAAGACGAGGAGGAAGCACTGTTATACAACAGTTTGGCAACGGCTCTGAAAGACAACTCTTTAAAATTTAGGACAACAGAAGGAAATTTATTTTTGCTTTTAGCAAGAAGTGCTTGTCATACTCAGAATGTCAATTCCACTATTTTAAGGCTCGTTAGTAATGCAAACAATGTTTCAAATTCCCTTCAATCACCCCATAAGAATGTGGTAATCAACCTTTGTTTGCCAGTAGACATGCCAGAAATGAGCTTTGTCTCTCTATCCTGGCTGCATGACAGCATATGAAAGTCTAATCGGTAAATGCTGCTTTCCCTGATAATGTTTAATCAAGAAACTCCTTCAGAGAGAAAAATTAGGGAGTTTTGACAGTCCTCCTTCTCAGTGGGAGCTCCCAAAGGAACTGTAGGCTATTGTAAGTTCTAGCCAGTACCTCACAGCTCGTTTAGGCTGATGCTACAGCACTAGTGGATGATGATCCTAATTAAGCTGCTAATTATGTTCTCTGTGGAGGTGATTAATTAGCCTTGGACACTGCCAGTGGCACCATATATAGAGATAACTGAGCAGGCAGTGATACCAAAAATCTGAGAAGAGATTTTGAAATGTACCTCTCATACCATGAAGAATCAACTTCCTGGGTGATACGGCAGTGAGCTCTGATGATTTTACTAAAGTCCAGCATACTTTAATGAGGGCCTATCTGGAAACTAAGCAATTTTCTTTTCTTTAGTCCCTTCCCCCCCCCAATAGAGTCACAGAAAGTGATTACCAAATCTGTGAACACTGCTGAGTTGTGGGTTTTTGCTCATTGTGCACCACTGACATTAACTATAAGTATAGAAAAAACGAACCTATTGGCACAAACCTTATTTGAATTTTCAAGAGTGAAGAAGTTCAAAGTCTTGTCTATATCTTTAGTTTCACTGTAGCCAAATGATGCTCAGCTATAGATACACTAACACAGGTTTTACCACTTTCAGACACTACATTTCACAAAAATGCTGTTGATGGGGAGCTGAGGAGGTAGGTAGTGATAGCGAAAAAAGCTTAAAAGCTAAATTTTGCTGTCTCCTCTGAGTCTCAGGCTTTAGGGTGTTAGCCCCAAAGAGCTGCCTAGTGTGAAATCATCTTGAGGCAGTGTTAAATGGATTACAGAGACCGGAGGAGAAAAAAAGAAAGAGATCCAACAGTTTGGGGGAGCCCCACACTTGAAAAAATCCACATAATTTAATTCCGAATCCTCCTCCTCAGCCTGATTTTTCTGGACATAAATATAAGCTGAAAATATAAATGGAAAGGCAGAGATTATAGAAAGTAACAGATATTGATATGATTTGCCTAAGAATTATTTAAATAATAGTGGTGCTTGGCCTCAGCTTCAAAGTAACTGAGTCACTTGGGTTAATCCTCAACCTCTGTGGGGTTACAGAGAACTGGGAGCTTGAAAAGACAAGTTTACAGTACCTCAGGCCTCCAAGCTGTATTAGGATGGGACTCTGATATCCTTGCCTATGCAGTCTCATCCATACATTTAATTAGTCCTACTTTAATCTTCTCTTGTATTTAAAAAATTGCACACTCAAGGTCTCTAGACATGCTTTTTACATATTTTGTACTTCATGCAAATATTACCTATTATTATCTAACTATCCTTCGAGCCCTGCAGCAAGTGATTTGTCACCAGTCCTGGAAGGGAATTCTGTTGTCAAAACATAGGTACTAGGCATTCTCCATCCATCCCTGAAGAAAGCCTGATCATCTCTATTGTTGCCTTAAGCTACTTACAGATTAAATTCCGTAAGAAAGAGTGATTAAACAGTCCACCATACACATGCTGTCTCTACACGATGCACTAAAGCTATGGTTTAGGGCAGCAATTTTACTTTGCCAATTATGGTTTACCATGCCAAAGTCCTACAATGCAAAGCATTGCTCTGGTTTCAGGCTTTCAGCCCAGTGCTGTCTAATGAAAACAGCTACAATGAATTTGCATACTGGCCAAATCTATGGGCTGCTTTTTTTTTTTGTAAGAAGCAGTTGTATTCATTCACACCTTAAAAGACATTGGACTTAGCAAAGTAAGTTGGGAAAAAAAAACAAAAGAGAAAACAACCCACTAGAATGATTCTTCCAGGACATCTCCCAAAAAGCATTGGTTTAGATGGGATGTTTTAACACCTATTTTCTATCATGCTTTTCACACTGTCAACTTTGAGCCACTTCTCCTTAAGTGTGAATATTTATTGTATCAATGTACAGTTGCTAAGTCAGCTAACTGATTTGCCCTTTAAAGCTAAATTACGTACTGAGATACTGAACTGTTGCCAATAATATGTAGAGATAAAAGCTTGCTGTAATCATACTAGCAGCATATGATATTTTTTACTAGGTGTCGTAGCTTGTTTCACCAATGAAGTATTTTGCCAATACGAAGTCTTAAATCTATCATTTGTTCTGACATACAGGTGGCAGCATTTTAAAAGGCCAGCAACAGAATGTCTTTCAAATTTGTGTCACACTTTGCCTCACTTATAAACGAACTGGAATTCTTCAGAATTAATCCTTTATTAAGGTGGATAATAGGGATATTATTTTATATTACTTCATTATTACAAATAAGGGAAGCAACACCATTTTATATTTTAATTTGCATTTTGTTGCTATGGTTTCTACAGGAGTAAGATTTTACCTCTCTTATTATGAAGCCTGTCAAGTGGATTTTGACAGGTAAGACAACTATCAAACTATAAGTCCTATTTTCTGCACTTAGGAGTCATGGGGAGATTTTTCATCTTGACTCAAGAACTGTCTCCACTGAAGAAGCCCTAGGCAAGACCCAGGCTGTGGGTTTCCCAGATAAAAATTTGGATGCTATTCACTCTCCTTACAGACTTTAGAAGGAATGATTAGCTTCTGGCTATGCAGTGTTTCAATGTTATAAAATACAATCTAAATGCTTAATGCTGTTAGTGAGCACCGTTGATTGCTTAGGAGTGGATACAGCTTCTTTCTGCACTGAGGCAGTCTGTGCAGGGAATTTGTGCAGAGAGTGCTGTCTCATGGGAAAAGCTGAGGAGAGCAGAGATTGAAAGCCAAATCCAATGTCACGTAAAAAGCGAGTAGTTAGCACACTGATAATCTACAGTAGTGGTGGTATAATGTTATGTTTATTATTTTTATAATCACCAATAAAAGCACTAACTGAAAGGTTTTCCCAATGTGGTTTGCATAAAGTGCTATACAGACAGTACAAGCAGATGATGATTTTTGTAATTCTCATCTTGTTCAAATGCAGTCTGTTTTAGCAGGGGTTTCTAAACATATGTGATTAACATTTACTCTTGCACACACACAAATACACAGAAATGACTGAAAAGCCTGGAGAGAGGCAAGGTCTGGCATGGTCCAGAAAGTGGCGAGCTATCCCCAAGCTCTGGCAGAGCTCTTCTTTCCTCACTGCCCTGCTTGGTATTTTAGTGTTGGGCTTATTTCTCATCATCCAATTTGTGGCCTGTTTTGAACTAGAGATATCTAACAATACTTCCATGAACTAGATATAGACAATTCTCATTTCATTATGATGCAAGTGAAATGTGGGTTTAGGCTTCCACCAGTAAGCCCCAGGTTTTTTTAATAGATATTACCAGAATTTAAGACATAAACACAGAACAATGTCCTACAAAGGGAAAAATAGGCACATACGAACACTGCACTCAAAAGAAATCTTTGATGTCTGTACCTGATACTGGACTGCTATCTTACTCCCTCCTTCCTGAAATGACCAGGTTGGAGAAAGAATATTTGCTGTAAACCTGACTTACATTGGTTTATTATTTTCTTGTGAGTTACAGCCAAGCTCCAAATATTAATCAACTGAAAGTCCCTAAGCCCTCTGACTTCATAGGAATTCTGCACATGCAGAAAGGAAAGCCTAATCAAATCTTTAACGCGTTAGACAGACTAATTAAATGGCAATAACCAAGGATCCAAGGGCCACAGTCTCTTACTCTCCAACAGCTTCTTTCAGTGACCTTAGGCAAATCCTTTAATCTGTGTGGCTTGGTTTCTTTGTGTAGTCACAGGTATAGATGAGGAAAATGAATTTAAAAGGTCATCAATTCTGGTGGTAATAAAGACCACACAAGCACCTATGATAGACAAATATCTATGGAAACTAGGTTTCTATTTATTTTTTAGAGGTGGGAGAGTTAAAATTATTATAGATGTATGGAACAGTTCAACACAAATCAAAATGCTCATAATTGGAATTCTTAAAGAAGTTGACTGTGAATTCAAAATTAGTCTCATCTATTTGAAGCCCAGGATGAAATCATTTTAATAGGTAGGGACAACATTTTCATTAAATATTTCCACTTTATGGAACTCTCTCTCAGCACCCACGTTACTTTGTGGAGAAACGTTGGTAATCAAAATAATTTCAATACAAAATAGAACTGCAGAAGAATGTAGAAACATTGCTAACAAGAAGTGTTCTACAATTCTGAAAAATCTTGAAAAAAAAAACCTGCTCACCAGGACACAGTATAATAAATATTCCTTATAATTTATTACCTCCTTACCTCTTAGAGTAAGGAAATGAGTACTTGAATTTGGGGAATTTGGGGAATTTTCTAGCAATAGAAGAACTGAGGAAGAACACCTTTTTTAGAGGAGAAACAGTTCTTTAAACAATGTCTATACACTTGTATCCGAAGACACACGATGATAGTGAATATGAAGGGGGGGAACCTACCACTGCATGTCTCTTCATCTGTGTCTATGTCTTCCAAATCCAAGTACTCGTCCACCTGTCATAAAACACCCAAATTGCAAAATAGCTTAAAATGTATTAATTCCATTCCTTATAGAACAATCTAAAACAAAGCAAAAAAGCATTAAACTGTCTGCTTCATCTTCTCCATTCTCCCCTGCATTTTTCCAAGAAAGCATATGAATTTGCTTTGAAATGTGTAACCCAAAGGAAGTACTTTTATATATAAGCAAAGAATTGTTGCCAAAATTGCTGCATATCAACCACAGTGATGGAAAAGAAGCTCAAGCTGTACAGCAACTTTTTCAGTAACTTAGTGGGAAGATGGAGAAGTAAAATATTTTCATAGGAAAAAGATACATGGTAAGTTTTGCAAGATCACTGCATATGGTAGAGAGACAATACATGTAAAGTAGAGCTTGATCCATTTTGATACTAATGGTGAACTGACTGGGAAATAAAAAAGCTAAAAATTATTAAAGTTTTAATATTTCATCTGGGACACTGCACTACTGTTTTTTCAGGCTGATGTCCCTTGAAAATGGTCTAAACTATCTAAAACATATCACAAGAAAAGACATTTCTTATTTCAGGTAGCACTCTGAATAGATGCATAGGGTGAGAGTGAAAGGCCTTTCCCAGCCTATGTGCAAATAGTGTTACCATTGAGGATCTACTGTATGCATTGGGTAATCTTCTGTGTTTTCATGAAGTAATTAGAGATGTTCTTAGATAATTTTTTCCAACCTGATTTGACACCATTCTCAACACTTATATAACTTTTACACTTTAAAAGTACATACTCATTAACCTTTGAAAAAAATTTTGGATGGTGATGCTCTCATCCTTCTTTCCCACAGATGGGAAAGAAATACATCAACAAATTGCAAGTACTTTGTAAATGAATAAAGCAAGAATCAGTCATGTTCTGGTCATAATCCCCACTTTGAATAAAATCAAAGAAAAACTCACCTTCACTCTTTCAGAAAGACTGAGATCATTTCCATCAGAGCCACTAGTTTTCCAGCTCTCATTCATCACTGTCTGTAGATAAATAGGCGGAAATACTTATACGCATGAAACAGAACCAAAATCACAGTCAGAGCTCCTACTGATTTACACATATAGATCCTTTAAGGTGCATTTAAAAATTTTTAAAAAGTGTATGCAATGCTCCTGAAAACAGAACGTATGCAGGTAATCCTCTGAAATCCTATGCAGGACCAGACTGAATCAATTGGAGCAATAGTGCAAGTAATCATAACATGCCTAAAAAGCAGCATTTAGAACAGAAGCATTGTTTTCAATAGCAGTTTTTTTCCTTCTTTCCTCAGGGCAGGCTTAAAGGTTACAGTGGCCAACTTACTGCATTACAGCCTCCTCCTGCTACTATGCTAGCAATTTTTCTGATGCATTCTGCTATTACTGTATTTGTTTCTTAAACTGCTAATGTGACAAAAATGTGCAGCCACGCCTGAAACTTTTTTTCTATAGCAACAAAGACAAGTATTAAGATGTTCCATTAAATAAAGGATAATGGAAGTTGCACATTGCTTTATGGGGCAGAAAGCCAATTTAAAGTGGCTAAAGTAAGAGACCCAAAGGCAGTCCATCCCAGTGAGGCAACCATATTCTTCATGAGAAAAATGGCAGAAAGATTCTTGTCATTATTATTATTACACAATCAACTGACAGAACGTGATTGTTTTAAAAGCCTTGCTCGATTCCACCTCAAAGGCAAGTGCCAGTAGGGAGGAAAATGACATCTTGTGCTCTTTGACTGAGGCCTGGCAGGCCCATCATTTGAAGGCACTTAAGTGTGTTGCTCTGTGTATTGCACAAAATGACCTGCTACTTCTTTAATACAAAGTTTAATGAAGGGAATTTTTGAGTACAGGCTAGATCACAGCTTAGTTATTTGTTATTCAGGCAGGAGGGCAGAAGTTCTTAACAAGTGGACTCAGATGTCCATCTTGCTCTCTCCAGATGATGTCTATTGTTTTCCTGTCCCTACATATTAAATCCCTAATCTCATATGTTTCAGAAAATTGAAAATGCCTCTGGCCTGCCTACTGTTTACTTCAGGTAGCTGAAGCAATCTACTTCAGTAACACAGAACTCAGGACTTGCTAAAATCCTCAAGAAACAAAATAAATCTGTGCATGTTGGCATCCATGCTCTCAAGATTTTTTCCTTTTTGCCAACCTCTACCAATAACTGTAGTCTTCAGCGAAAGCACTAAAAAGGGCCTTGCAGGGCGCCTTATTTATTAGTCAGATTCAGTAGAGCAAATGCCACTGCCAAACATGACCCATGCAGGTGCCTCTGTAAGCATTACACACTTAGGTAGTATTTTAAATATTTGCCTTGGATGGGATAAATACCACTAGCCTCTAACATTTGGACAGTGTATCTCCCCATATTTTCATCTGTTTGAATATGGTGCTTATCCACATGGACAAATGTTAACTCATTACCTCATTCTCATTTGGCATCTGTGGTGGAAGAGACACCCACATTTCTTTGCTTCTTCCAGGTGAGCCATCCTGTTTCTTTCTGTTTGATAATTCAGAAGTAGAATTTTTTTTTCTTAAGGAGTCCACTTCTCTTCCTTGAATTGTCTTCCCCTCTTCCTCTGCAAGGAGAATCACATCAGATCAGATAACATAATGCACCATCCAAGAAAAGAAAAACATGAATTTCATTAGATCTAATATTGACTTATTTTAGACACTCACTTTTCCCCTCATGCTTAGAGCTTCCATGTGCATCATATACATGTATTTCACAATCTTTATCATAAAATCGAACATGCAGTTTGAACTTCAAGTGCACCACCTATTCCTCAATACTGAAGAATTCATTGTCTCAAAAGCTTATGCAATATACAGAAAACTTCATAAAAAAACTCAAGAGCTGAAAATACCCCAAAAAAAGCAAGACAGTAAGGTTACACCTTAGTTTTTATTTAAAAACTCTACTTAAATGCTCTCTGAATTTGGCACAAAATGGCACGTAACATTTGTGCCCGTGCCTTCATCCAACACTGCAAACACCAGCACATATGAAGAGAGTCTCTTCTTTGTGACACTATAAACCCCATAGCAACTGCATGCACTCAGTAGAGCTATTTTAGGTGTACATTTTTAGAAATAAAATCAGAAAAAAAACCTCATTCCCCAACACCAACACACACTCTCAACACTCACATGTCTAGTTTTAAAAGTCCAGCAGCTGCGGTTATGTGGGATCTGTGCTCACAAAATCACTTGATATCTTAAGCACTTCAAGTGCACATATTCCTTAACATACCTAACTGATGGTGTACCTTCTCATCAAGCACAAGAAAGGACTCTGAGTTTGATCATAGTACAGCAATGATCTGGTCCAAAAATGGAATAGTTCTTCTATTTTCTACCTCACTATCTTGGTATCACCCTGTTTATACTATCAGCCCAAACGTGTGCCCCGTGTGTGAACCTTGCAACCATCAGAGAAAATGCTCACGTTGTCCAGCACAGAAGTGAGCCGTGGCAGTTCTTGTCAGAGCTGATACTGATACTGGCTGTGAGTCCACCCAGAGCCAGCACCCACAGAGCTCTCGGGTGTCCACAGGCACCACTGCCAGAATCTCCACCAGTCCAGGACCACGTGATGAGATGCACTGACAGGTCCTATAACCTAGACCCTGTATCTTTAGTTAGTAAAACACCTCATCTGAGCTGATTTCTTTAGGCACTGCTGCTTTCAGTGTTTAACAACTATAGTATGCTCTTGACCTAGCTTATTACCAATTTGATTTCCTCCCTATATCAGCAATCTGACTGGGTGGGAAAATTTTGCAAGTAAATATTTTTTTATTGGGATCAGACTAACAGCAGTATGCCAGTGATATTTAATTGCCAGAAGTCTAGGTCCTGAGATTAAAGATTAAATACAGGTGTTCAAGCAGAGTTTGTTCCCTTAGGGGATTCCTTTGGTCTTGAAAGACAGACTGGAAAAATGTTTTGCTAGTGCATTGACGGATTGGAATAGCTTCTCTCGTGTTTATTTTACACATCAATAGTGGCTAACTGGGCCCTCACTCGAAAATAGGGAAGTATTCAGAAACAGAACTGAGTCTTTCAATGATAGCTTATGACATCTTTCAGACTTTTAACAACTCCTTGGACAACAAGAGCAAAGTTAAAGACAACTGTTAGTGCTTCTGACTGTCCTACCAGCCAGGTCCATGGGGCATGGAGCAGCCAGCAGAATTAAGATAAAGCTAGGTGATCATCAGATGAAATCTCAACAGTACAGACTGGATCTAGGAGCTGATTAAAGATCAGGACAAGTATGTGCATGGAAGTATGGACTTCCAAACCCATGCTGAATAGGTTTTTTCCCTACAACATGGCAAAAAAATATACTAATCACAGCCAAAATAAAAATACACAACTTTTTATTTTAAAAGTCCCATTATCAAATATGGAGCAGCCATAGGGCAATCAGTTCAAATGAACCTCACACCACATGTTAATGAAAAATAAATGCTCATTTAACAGAGTTTCTTGGGTTTAGTTTGAAAAATCTACTTTGTAACAATAAGAAACACTGCAGTGCATTTCTAAAGCATAATTAAATGTTACAGGCATTGAAGTAATTCTTGTGGAGAGTTTTAATGATGCCCTTGGGGGTACTACATTGAGCCATCCACCAAAGAGTTATTAATCCCCAGGGACAGCTCTGTGCTGCAGTTACTATGACACATAGAAAGGGCTGGCAGTCTGGGCATAACCTGAAGTCCACACTCATAAGAGTCAAGGTTCATAGAAAGTAAATTCATAGAATCATAGAATGGTTTGGGTCAGAAGGGACCTTAAAGACCATCTAGTTCCAACCCCCCTGCCATGGGCAGGGACACCTTCCACTAGACCAGGTTGCTCCAAGCCCCATCCAACCTGGCCTTGAACACTGCCAGGGATGGAGCATCCACAACCTCTCTGGGCAAACTCTTCCAGTGCCTCACCACTCTCACAATGAAGAACTTCTTCCTTACATCTAACCTAAATCTACCCTCTTTCAGTTTAAAAACATTACCCCGTGTCCTCTCACTACATGTCCTTGTAAAAAGTCCCTCTCTGGCTTTCCTGTAGGCCCCCTTTAGGGACTGGAAGGCTGCTATAAGGTCTCCCTGGAGCCTTCTCCAGGCTGAACAACCCCAACTCTCTCAGCCTGTCCTCATAGGAGAGGTTGTTCCAGCCCACTGATCACTCTTGTGGCCCTCCTCTGGACTTGCTCCAACAGGTCATTGTCTTTCTTGTGCTGAGGGCTCCAGAGCTGGATGCAATACTCCAGGTTGAGTCTCATGACAGCGGTGTAGAGGGGGAGAATCACCTCCCTTGACCTGCTGGCCACACTTCTTTTGATGCAGCCCAGGATACAGTTGGCTTTCTGGGCTCCAAATGCACACTGCTAGGTCATGTTGAGCTTCTCGTACAACCAACACGCCCAAGTCCTTCTCCGCAGAACTGTTCTCAATTCACTCATTGCCCAGCCTGTACTTGCGCTTGCGATTGCCCCAACCCATGTGCAGAACCTTGCACTTGGCCTTGTTGAACTTCATGAGGTTCACACGGGCCCACCTCTCAAGCCTGTCAAGGACCCTCTGGATGCATCCCTTCCCTCCAGCATGTTAACCACACCACACAACTTGGTGTCATCAGCAAACTTGCTGAGGGTGCACTCAATGCCACTGTCCATGTTGCCGACAGAGATGTTAAACAGCACCAGTCCCAGTACTGACTGACCCCTGAGGAATGCCACTCATCACTGGTCTCCTCTCAGACATCGAGCTGTTGACCACAACTCTTTTGAGTGCAACCATCCAGCCAATTCCTTACCCACCAAGTGGTCCATCCATCAAATCCACGTCTCTCCAATTTAGAGACAAGGATGTCATGCAGGACAGTGTCAAATGCTTTGCACAAGTCCAGGCAGATGACATCAGTTGCTCCTCCCTTGTCCACACTGTAACCCCATCATAAAAGGCCGCCAAATTTATCAGGCACAATTCACCCTTAGTGAAGCCATGTTGGCTGTCACCAATCAGCTCCTTATTTTCCGTGTGCCCTAGCACAATTTCCAGGAGGATCCGCTCCATGATCTTGCCAGGTACAGAGGTGAGACTGACTGGCCTGTGGTTCCCCGGGTCTTCCCTTTTTAAAAATGGAGGTTATGTTTCCCCTTTTCTGGTCAGTAGGAACTCCCCTGGACTGCCACGACTACTCATATATGATGGATAGTGGCTTAGCCACTTCATCCACCAGTTCCCTCAGGACTTGTGGACACATCTCATCAGGTCCCATGGACTTGTGCATCTTCAAGTTCCTTAGATGGTCTCAAACTTGATCTTCTCCTACGGTGGGC